ACTTGCTTTCCCCTGCCCTGAGGCACATGAATACCAAGATGAGAGCAGCCCTCACAGTTGAGAAGCGAGTGGCGATAGCCCTGTGGAAGCTTGCAACGCCAGACAGATACCGGTCAGTTGGGAATCAATTTGGAGTGGGCAAATCTACTGTGGGGGCTGCTGTGATGCAAGTAGCCCACGCAATCAAAGATCTGCTGATATCAAGGGTAGTGACCCTGGGAAATGTGCAGGTCATAGTGGATGGCTTTGCTGCAATGGGATTCCCTCACTGTGGTGGGGCTATAGACGGAACCCATATCCCTATCTTGGCACCGGAGCACCAAGCCGCCGAGTACATAAACCGCAAGGGGTACTTTTCGATAGTGCTGCAAGCTCAGGTGGATCACAAGGGACGTTTCACCAACATCAACGTGGGATGGCCGGGAAAGGTGCATGATGCTCGCATCTTCAGGAACTCTGGTCTGTTTCAAAAGCTGCAGGAAGGGACTTTATTCCCAGACCAGAAAATAACTGTTGGGGATGTTGAAATGCCTATATGTATCCTTGGGGACCCAGCCTACCCCTTAATGCCATGGCTCATGAAGCCGTACACAGGCAGCCTGGACAGTAGTCAGGAGCTGTTCAACTACAGGCTGAGCAAGTGCAGAATGGTGGAAGAATGTGCATTTGGATGTTTAAAAGCACGCTGGCGCAGTTTACTGACTCGCTTAGACCTCAGCGAAACCAATATTCCCACTGTTATTACTGCTTGCTGTGTGCTCCACAATATCTGTGAGAGTAAGGGGGAGACGTTTATGGCGGGGTGGGAGGTTGAGGCAAATCGCCTGGCTGCTGGTTATGCGCAGCCAGACACCAGGGCGGTTAGAAGAGCACAGGAGGGCGCGGTACGCATCAGAGAAGCTTTGAAAACCAGTTTCATGACTGGCCAGGCTATGGTGTGAAAGTTCTGTTTGTTTCTCCTTGATGAAACCCCCCGCCCCTTGGTTCACTCTACTTCCCTGTAAGCTAACCACCCTCCCCTCCTCCCTTCAATCACCGCTTGCAGAGGCAATAAAGTCATTGTTGCTTCACATTCATGCATTCTTTATTCATTCATCACACAAATAGGGGGATGACTACCAAGGTAGCCCAGGAGCGGTGGTGGAGGAGGGAAGGAAAATGCCACACAGCACTTTAAGCACAGCACTTTAAAAGTTTACAACTTTAAAATTTATTGAATGACAGCCTTCTTTTTTTGGGGCAATCCTCTGTGGTGGAGTGGCTGGTTGGCCGGAGGCCCCCCCACTGCGTTCTTGGGCGTCTGGGTGTGGAGGCTATGGAACTTGGGGAGGAGGGCGGTTGGTTACAGAGGGGCTGCAGTGGCAGTCTGTGCTCCAGCTGCCTTTGCTGCAGCTCAACCATACACTGGAGCATACTGGTTTGGTCCTGCAGCAGCCTCAGCATTGAATCCTGCCTCCTCTCATCACGCTGCCGCCACATTTGAGCTTCAGCCCTGTCTTCAGCCCGCCACTTACTCTCTTCAGCCCGCCACCTCTCCTCCCGGTCATTTTGTGCTTTCCTGCACTCTGACATTATTTGCCTCCACGCATTCGTCTGTGCTCTGTCAGTGTGGGAGGACAGCATGAGCTCGGAGATCATTTCATCGCGAGTGCGTTTTTTTTTCTTTCTAAGCTTCACTAGCCTCTGGGAAGGAGAAGATCCTGTGATCATTGAAACACATGCAGCTGGTGGAGAAAAAAAAAGGGACAGCGGTATTTAAAAAGACACATTTTATAAAACAGTGGCTACACTCTTTCAGGGTAAACCTTGCTGTTAACATTACATACATAGCACATGTGCTTTCGTTACAAGGTCGCATTTTGCCTCCTCCCACCGTGTGACTACCCCCTCAACCTTCCCCCCTCCCTGTGGCTAACAGCGGGGAACATTTCTGTTTAGCCACAGGCAAACAGCCCAGCAGGAATGGGCTCCTCTGAGTGTCCCCTGAAGAAAAGCACTCTATTTCAACCAGGTGACCATGAATTATATCTCCCTCTCCTGAGGATAACACAGAGAGATAAAGAACGGATGTTGTTTGAATGCCAGCAAACATACACTGCAATGCTTTGTTCTACAATGATTCCCGAGTACGTGTTACTGGCCTGGAGTGGTAAAGTGTCCTACCATGAAGGACGCAATAAGGCTGCCCTCCCCAGAAACCTTTTGCAAAGGCTTTAGGACTACATCTAGGAGAACCGCAAATGCCAGGGCAAAGTAATCCTTTCACATGCTTGCTTTTAAACCATGTATAGTATTTTAAAAGGTACACTCACCAGAGGTCCCTTCTCTGCCTGCTGGGTCCAGGAGGCAGCCTTGGGTGGGTTCGGGGGTACTGGCTCCAGGTCTAGGGTGAGAAACAGTTCCTGGCTGTCGGGAAAACCGGTTTCTCCGCTTGCTTGCTGTGAGCTATCTACAACCTCCTCCTCATCATCATCTTCTTCGTCCCCAAAACCTGCTTCCGTATTGCCTCCATCTCCATTGAAGGAGTCAAACAACACGGCTGGGGTAGTGGTGGCTGAACCCCCTAAAATGGCATGCAGCTCATCATAGAAGCGGCATGTTTGGGGCTCTGACCCAGAGCGGCTGTTCGCCTCTCTGGTTTTCTGGTAGGCTTGCCTCAGCTCCTTCAGTTTCACGCGGCACTGCTTCGGGTCCCTGTTATGGCCTCTGTCCTTCATGCCCTGGGAGATTTTCAGACAAAGGTTTTGGCATTTCGAAAACTGGAACGGAGTTCTGATAGCACAGATTCCTCTCCCCAAACAGCGATCAGATCCCGTACCTCCCGTTCGGTCCATGCTGGAGCTCTTTTGCGATTCTGGGACTCCATCATGGTGACCTGTGCTGATGAGCTCTGCATGGTCACCTGCAGCTTTCCACGCTGGCCAAACAGGAAATGAGATTCAAAAGTTCGCGGTTCTTTTCCTGTCTACCTGGCCAGTGCATCTGAGTTGAGAGTGCTGTCCAGAGCGGTCATAATGGAGCACTCTGGGATAGCTCCCGGAGGCCAATACCATCGAATTGTGTCCACAGTACCCCAAATTCGAGCCGGCAACGTCGATTTAAGCGCTAATCCACTTGTCAGGGGTGGAGTAAGGAAATCGATTTTAAGAGCCCTTTAAGTCGAAATAAAGGGCTTCATTGTGTGGACGGGTGCAGGTTTACATCGATTTAACGCTGCTAAATTCGACCTAAAGTCCTAGTGTAGACAGTTAGCCAAGCTGCCTTGGAACAAAAACCAAGGCGTGCTGCCTCTCAGTTCCCCACCCCACGCCAGCCACCCTCACCTGCTAGAGCTGGGGATCCTGGTACCCAGCTTCACGCAGGCACTTGCAGCCTCTTCCTATTACTTGGAAAGATACCCTACCCGCAAGCCTGATTATACACGGATCTAAGCCTGTTGCAGTGAAAATATTCTGCCTCTCTCTCTGCTGCTGATTCCCATTAATCTTGGGTTTGCCATGTTTCTTTTATAAATGTGGCCAGCCACTGAGTCATAACCCTAAATCCCTTCCCTGCATGCCTGTCCCATTTAAAATGGGCTCTCAGCTGTATTGCTGCCCCAGTGGGATTATGTTAATATCCCTGCATCTGCATTTTCCCTTCCCACTGTTCTAGTCACTTACAAATGTCCTTATTTGTCAGAATCTGCTTGCTTTGTTCCTCAGCGACTGCTTTGAAGAGAGGCAGTGTGGTCCAGGGGCTAGAGCAAGGGGGTTTCGGATCAAGACTCCTGGGTTCCATTGCCATCTGTACCGTGATGCACTAGGTCAGCTCAGGCAAGACACAGTATTCTTTGTATTTCAGCAGTAGCTAAAAGCTCCAATCAAATTTGGCTTCAGGTCCATGGTGCTAGTCCCATTTCCTGCTATCTGTGTGGTTCCCCCCTTGATAATGGGGTATATAATACCTGCCTACTGTTGGGGAGGGGAGGAAGCATGCCTCATCCTCTGTGTTAAGGATTACCTAATTAATATGTACCTGCATTGTTACCCCTGGTTTACTGGTGAGGAAACTGAGGCATAGAAAGGGGACGTGACGTGCCCAAAATTATGTACTGATTCGTTGGAGGAGTCAGCGGTAGAACCCAGGAGTCCTGCAACCCAACTACAAGCTGTGGCCACTGGACTCCACCCCCAGCCCAGATCTGGTGTCCCAACCCAGGAGTCCTGCTGCCTCATCACCTCCTCTAGCCCTTAGGTCCCACCAGTGGTGTCAGACCTTGGAAAAGAAACCAGGTGTCCTGCCTCTCAACCAGCAGTTTAGCCATGTGCTAAGGCTCCCCTCCCTGAGGTGGGAATTGAGCCCAGGACTCCCAAGTCCCAACATGCAGGGGGAGCCCTGGCAAAGGCTCGGGCGCTTGGGAGGGCATTTCACTACCCCTACGATTCTGCAAATCACCCCTTGATCCCAAAGCAGGTTTCAACGCCTCTGTCCGCTGAGCCAGCCCTTGGAGAGGGGCCGGGGGGTTATTCCCCAATCCTGCAGGGCGGGGGCATGGGCCTGAAGTATTCATGGCCTCCCGCTCCCCCTCGATCCCGTCCCCCCAGTGCCAAGACCGGGTTCTTCTCTCCCATTTTGGGGGGGCGGGGGTGTGTGCAGACAGGGCAGCGGAGTTTTGGGTTGCGTAGGGTTGCCAACGCTCCAGGATGGTCCTGCAGTCTCCAAGACTTACAGATCAATCTTTAATTAAAGATCATGTCAGGCGAGGCAATCCCCAGGAATCCCTCCACCCAAACTTGGCAACCCAACGCCTTGCTGTTTAGGATGACGGGAGGGAGGGACTCCCCCGCCGCCGGGCAGGGGGGCTGCTGGGGCTTGCGGGCCCTGCTCCGGAGTCCAGCTAGGTGGCAGCCCCCACCTCCCCATCGCGAGCCCCGCCCCCGCCCAGCCAGAGCCCGCCACGTGGGTACCGCGGCAGCTGGCGGGGGGCGGGGCCCGGGGGCGGGGCCACACGGGCGGGGGAGGGGCCGAGCTAAGGCGACTGTTGATGACAGGGAGGAAGAGGAGGAGGCAGAGGAGGAAGAGGTTAGTGATCGGGCTTGCGTTGGGGGAGGGAAACCTCAGCCCCCCCCGACCAGATACTTATGGGGGGGTTTCCTGTCTGTCCCCTCCCCCTCATCCCCACACACAGTCCCCCTCTGTCCCCATATACTGGGGGGGGCTCCCTCTCTGCCCCCTCCCCCCCACACCCCTGTACTGGGGGGCTCCCTCTCTGCCCCCCACATTGGGGGGTGTAACTGCCCCCTCTCCCCCCCACACCCCTGTACTGGGGGGCTCCCTCTCTGCCCCCCACATTGGGGGGTGTAACTGCCCCCTCTCCCCCACACATCCCTATTCTGGGGGGCTCCCTCTCTGCCCCCCACATTGGGGGGTGTAACTGCCCCCTCTCCCCCACACATCCCTATTCTGGGGGGCTCCCTCTCTGCCCCCCACATTGGGGGTGTAACTCTGCCCCCTCTCCCCCCCCACACCCCTATCCTGGGGGGCTCCCTCTCTGCCCCCCTCCCTCGGCCCCCCCAGGCCCAGACAGCACACACGCACTGGGGAGGGGCCCCTCTCTGTGTGTCTCCCTCCCTCCCCCTGTTCTCTTAGCTGGGGGGGATGGGGGGGGGAACAGGGTTCCATTGAGGTGTCCCAACTCCCAGGAAGGCCCCTTATTGTCCCCCTTACCACCATGTAAACAGGGGGAAGCCTCACCCCCCCCCCCCAACACACACACTGATGTCGGTTACTGCGGGGGGAGGGTTGTTTTCGGTGTTGCCAGCCCCACCCTTGGGCTTGTGCTGGTTACAGCTGGGCCTTGGTGTTCCCAAGAGATCCCGGCTGAACTGCCCTGGTGCTGACTCGTTCAGGCCCCTTTGGCCTTGTCTCTGCTAAGGGGGTGGGGGGAGACGGGGGCTGCAGCAACACCCCTTCCCCTTGCCCCCATCATAGCTCTGTCTGGTCGCCTCGGAGACTAGTGTGCTGCTTGGGGACATGCTTAGCACACAGATGGGGCCTGTCTACACTACTAAGCCAAAACTCATTCTGACTATGTTGAGGGTGGGCGGTGGGGTCAACCGGGCTATAACCAGTCTCCCGTCCCTCGCCAGGATGATAGGAACTGGGAGCTGAGCCAGGCAGTAGGAGAGGCTTGCAGTTGCCCTTGTGGGATCAGTTTAACAGGCAAAGAAAGAGCCAGAGAGACAGTGTGGCTGAGTGGACTGGGACTTAGGAGGGATGCCCCGGGTCTTCTGGGTGATCTTGGGCAAATCCCTTCCTGCCGTGTGCCTCGGTTTCCCCATCTGTAATATGGGGATAAGGGAACTGACGTCCTTTGTAAAGTGCATTGAGATCTATGGATGAAAAATGCTTTATAAAAGCAAGTTGTTAATATTTCAAGCCCCAGAAATGACTCTCTCTCCTTATCTTTCCCATAGACTGTGTGTGTTCCAGGTGCTTGCTTGAAGCTATAGACTTTTCACAATGGTGAGTGGAGCTGATCCCAATCTTGCCATCCTGGGGTATTCAAAAATTGCAAGTCAGGCCTCAAAAAGTCATGAGATTGTTTTTAAAATCGTGAGATTTCATTAGTTCCTTTTCTTCGCCTCCTGCGCTGTTCAGATCTCTCAGCCCATGTTTCTAAGCTTTCCTTCATGGCTGCGGGGCAGGAACTTGCCTTTTTTGTTTTTAATGAAAGCCGAGAGTCTCATGAAATCGCTGAGACAGACAGATAAGAGGAATTGAACCTCACCCGAGATAAATAATCAGCTGCTTGAGTCTTGCATCCTGACGCAGGAGTTTGATTATTATTTTTTTGCTTGTTTCTTTATAGGGTGAAAGAAAAGGCGTGAATAAGTATTACCCTCCTGACTTCGATCCAGCAAAGGTAAGAGCAGGGATTGAACAGCAAGGCCTGGTCATAGACACATCAGCTGATGCTTGGTGTCCAGGTTTGCTCTTGCCAGCCTGAACACTGTGTTTACCAGTCAGCTTCATGGACAAAGTTCTGAGCCTGTGGCTGGAGTTGGGAATGAAACCAGTAACTGGGAATTAAGCCAGTCGGTCCTCACTTTGTCCCATTTCCTGTGAGAAAGCAACAGGAGGGCAGCTGATTAAATTCAAAGGCAACAGATTTTAAGTGGATAAAGGGTAACTTACTTTATAAGGAACTGTGGAGCTCCCTGCTACAGTATTTTAGTAAATTTCAAAGCAGGATTAGATGGTGATATTGGTAAGAACAAAGTCCGCCATGGCTAGGATCACAAGGCCTATAGGTCTGCATTCTTCCTGGTGTGAGCTGCCTTCCAGGTGGGGGTCAGGATGGAGTTTCCTCCGTGGGATATTGTGGTGGGTTTACACCTCCCTCTGAACCATCCAGAATTGGCTGCTGCCATGGATGGGATACTGGGCTGGAAGGACTGTCAGTCTGATCTGATGCTCCAGTTCTAGGAACCAAACTGATGTTGGCCTCTTGTTATGGGTTAAGGGCTGCCTTTCTGTTCTTTCCCTCACAGCATGTCTCCCTTAATAAATACCGGAACAGCCACCCACTGCGAGAGAGAGCCCGCAAGCTCTCCCAGGGCATCCTTATCATCAGGTAAGAGCTTGTGCTCCCTTTACCATCCCTCAGGACCCCTGAATGCATCTCGAGGGAACCTGTGGGTTGCTGCCCTGTAGGTAGAGCAGGGGACTGGGAAGCCAGGACTCCTGGGTTCTATTCTAACCCAGCTTTGGGTTAAGAATGGGGTCTAGTGCTTTGAGCAGGGGGCTTCTGGGGCCAGGACTCCTGGGTTCTATTCTCACAAGCCCCCAGGTGAGGTCAGTGCAGTCACCTCCCCTAGAAGTAACGGGCACAAACTCTCTTTTGATATGCCTGTGTTGGCAATGCTTGACTGCCTGTGGTTAAAGGAGCCAGGTCCTCTCTGCTCCCCGGTGCAGCCTGAGGCAGAATTCAGGTTGGTTGTGGACTCTTGACTCAGAATGGGGCACGGCTCCTAGCTGCGCTTAGACCCTTCGCTCCAGCTCAGCGGTTGTTGGCTGGGGAGGACGTGGGGTTCTGGCATCAGGGTGACCGGCACCGTCTTGGCTGCTCTCTCCTAGGTTCGAGATGCCCTATAACATCTGGTGCGATGGCTGCAAAAATCACATTGGAATGGGTAAGCGCCCGCTTGCCTAGCACCCGGGATCCTCTGGATGCTTGGCACTCAGTGCCATGGCCAGGCAGTTGTGCTCCTTGCAGTGGTGGGAGCTAAGCCAGGACAGGATTGAGAAGATGGAGCGGGGATGTCCCGGGGCGGGGAGAGAGATGGTGCCTTAGGGGTTGGCTCCTTGACTTTAGGGGAGGGACCAAACCCAGCTTTAATTTACTCTCTGATGGTTGTTATTGTGCTGTCCCCTCTGCTGCCTCTGGGCCCTGGCTGAATAGCAACCCCCCCACCCCACACACACACACACCCCTTCCCCGTCCCGTGTCCCGTGCACTATCTGGGGCGATGGCTCGACCAGCAGCAGCTGTGGGGAAGGTGGCCTGGTGGGTAGGGCACGGGACTCAGACTTGGGAGACCATTCCCAGCTCAGACACAGGCTTCCTGTGAGACCTTGGGCAAGTCACTTGATATACCCCATGCCTCAGTTTCCCATCTGTGAAATAGGGGTGATAATATGTCCCTCCATGTCAGGGTGCTGAAAGGATGGAATCTATGATGAGGCAGGAAAGCGAGATTGGGGAGAGAAGGGAACAGCCGCTTGTTCCGAGTCAGTAAAGTCTAGTGGTCAGCATAGAGGGACTAGGAGGAGAGGATGCCTGGGTCCTATTCCCAGTTCTGAGTGGGGTCAAAGCAAGAGACAGAGTGACAGGACTCTTCGTGGGTTCTGGTCCCAGCTCTGGGAGGGCAGAGTGATAGCGATTAGAGCAGCGGGGGAGTTGCCAGCTGTGGGAGGGCACTGGGGGGTGGGTTTGGGAGCCAGGACTCCTGGGTTCTCTTGCCAGCTCATACCTCAACTTGCTGTGTGACCTGGACTTGTCCAAAAGTGTGAAGTCTTGCTACTGACAATGTGGAGTGTCTATGAACCCTGGGATTGAGAGCCAGGACTCCTGGGTCCCATTCCCAGCACAGCTTGGGAGCCCAGGTAGACATGACATCCTTGCTCCCGCTTGAGGGAGATGCGGGGTCGGGGTGGAGTTGGCTCTTCAGCTCCCAGCTCTGTCTGTCACAGGTGTCCGGTACAACGCGGAGAAGAAGAAAGTTGGGAATTACTACACTACCCCCATCTACAGGTGGGTGCAGGAAGCGCGGGCTCCTCTCCTGGGCTCTGAGCCTATGCAGAGCGGTGACCTGTGTGAACTGAGTCTGGGGAGCCACCAGGCCACATTGCAGAATCCCACCATTGTCGCTGAAGCCAAACGGCCTCCCCCAGCAAAGCAGTCAGGGTTAGAATGGGCCCCAGAGGCCCCGCCTGCCTCTTTCCCAGAAGGGGCGGGAAGCTGCCCCCGGAACAGCCAGCAGCGCCCCAGCGACAAACGTGGCAGGACAGATGAGGAAGCTGCTGCTGAGCTGAGCTGGATTTAAAGCAACGTCCTCTGGGCTCTGTGTGCCATCGCCGCCCTCTGAGCCACCTGCTCCCCTAGGGATGGGCCTGTGGTTAGAGCACAGGGCTGGGAGCCAGGACTCCTGGGATCTCCTCCCAGCTCTGGGAGGGGAGTGGGGTCTAGTGGTTAGAGCAGGGGAGACTATTCCCGGCTTTGCCACTGAATTGGATGAGTCCTTTCTCTCCCCCTCCCATGCTCGATTTCCCCCCTGCACACACACACCTACCGGGTGGATAATACGGAGAGGCGAGGTAATTGCCTGTGGAGCACGTGGCAATGTGTGGCTGGGATGATCTGGCTCCACAAGTGCGCGGCCTATTGTGGTAGAGCAGAAGCTTCCCACCTCCCTGTGGCTAAAGGGAAGGTGAATAAAACTAGCAGCTCCTGGGATTTCTTATGCCCCATGCAGCCACAGCAGCTCAGCCTGGGGTCCAGCTAGCACAATGTCCTGTCTCTGGTGGGACCGCGTGCCAGAGACTTCAGGAGCTGGCATAAGATCCCTCTAGCGGGACAGGAGCAAAGACTGGGGAGCTGGAGTCTGGCTGGGGCTGCAAGGAGGTGGCCAGGAAATAACCCCCCAGCCTGTCCCCTTGGGTGCCAGGTTTCGGATGAAGTGCCACCTGTGTGTCAATTACATCGAGATGCAGACGGACCCGGCCAACTGTGACTACGTCATCGTGAGCGGGGCCCAGCGCAAGGAGGAGCGCTGGGACATGCAGGACAATGAGCAGATCCTGACCACAGGTGAGTCCAGGGGGCAGCGGGCCCTGCTCCTTCCGGCGGCTGGCAGGACAGAGCCCACCGGTGAGTCAGTGTGTCTGTCCCTCTGCCTCCAGAACACGAGGAGAAGAAGCAGCTGGAGACAGATGCCATGTACCGGCTAGAGCATGGTGCCATGGACCAGAGCAAGCTGCAGAGAGCCATCCCCACCTTGTCCAACATCCAGGAGGCCCAGAGCGCCTGGAAGGACGACTTCGCCATCAACAGCATGTTGCGCAGGAAGTTCCGGGTGAGCAGGGACTCAGAGCCATGGGGACTGCGCATTGCTCCTAGCTGGGACCCTCCTGGCCTTTTGGGAGGCAGCCTGACCTCGTGGATGGAGCACAGGACTGGGACTCGGGAGACCTGGGCTCTGCTGGGTGATTTTGGACAGGTCCCCTCCCTTCCTCGTTCCTCAGTTTCCCCATCTGTAAAATGGGGATAATGCTATTGACCTCCTTTGTACAGTGCTTTCCCATCTGTGGATGGAAGGTACTAGAGGAGAGAGAGCCGCGGGGTGGTGCTGGGCTGGAGGAAGGACTTGCTGAGACTGCCCTTTGCTCTAGACATTGTGGCAGTTCAGTGATGCGTGTCCATGATTCTCTCTCTTGGACACTCCTTGTAGCATCGCTCTCCTGGGCACTAGGTCAGGGGCCAAGTCTAGCCCTGGCGTAAGCTCTGCTGAAGCTAATGGGATTTACCCCCTCTCCTTACATCAGGGCTGAGCTTCAATGGCTTACATAGATGATGCTGGCTGGGCCCTTGCTCTCACTGTCCTGTCCCTCCCCTGTTTAGGAGGAGAAGAAGATTCTCCAGGAGGAAGAGGAGAAGGACCTGGCTCTGCAGACCAAGGCCAACCTGAGCATTCCCCTGGTGCAGGAGACAGAGGAAGACCGGCGCCTGGCAGCCCTGCTCAAGTACCACAGCTTGGACTGTACGTGCTGCCTTCTGGGGCTGTGGGTGGGGGCTGCCTCGGGTCTTCTGGGTGGCCCTTGGCACAGAGGGATTCAGGGCCCTGTCTTGGCCTGAGGGATGTGGGCAGCATAGGGTTAAGGTCACCACTGATACTGTCAGTTGGATGTGGTTTACATTGGGGACGAACAAATCAAGGGAGCCAGGACTCCTGGGTTCTACTCATGCCTTTGGAGGGGTAGGGTCTAGTGGTTAGAGCAGGAGGCGAGGGAACCAGGACTCCTGGGTTCTGTTCCCAGCGTTGCGGGCCGGGGGGAGTGGGAGCCAGGACTCCTGGGTTCTCGTCCTGGCTTTGCTGCTTACAGATGTGTGATTTGGGGGTGGGCTCTGAGGAGAGTGGCGTTCGAGCTAGGGGGCTACGAGCCCCATAAATCAGTGTGCTGCTCAGCACAGGTGCATCGTGCTGGTCCCAGGGCAGGAGCCCTGAGCCAATGCTCCCAATGCCATTGAAGCTTTCAGGTGCCCCTGTGCTCCTACGCGTGCCCTCTATGGATGCCTGTCACTACCCTGCTGCCCCTCCCTCTCCTTCCAGCTTATGAGGACAAACAGAAGCTGAAGCGAACAGAGATCTCTGGCCGCTCCTGGTTCCCCCCTGCTCAGGCTGCAGGTGGCAAAGCCACCGACACGCTTAAGAAGCTGGGGCTCGCTGGGAAAGTCATGTCCCCGAAGGCGCTCGCTGGCGGCTCACACATCACAATCAGCCACTTGGGCATTGTGCGCCGCAAATCCCGGGAGGGGCCCGAGAGCCTGTGCAGCCCAGGAGAGAGCACAGAGCACGGGGCACGAACTGGCGGGCAGAGCCGCCATAGCGCAGCCCATGGGACGCCCCAGCAGAGCTCCCCCGTGGCCAGCGGCGACGTCCTCCCTGCAGCGGGCACTTCCAGCACCTCCTGCTCCACCAGGCTCAGCTCCTCTCTCGTGGCAGACTATTCAAACTCCAGCTCTGATTCTGAAGTGGACTGACACCCCCTGCCCCCCCCACCCCGGTTAGGGCTGGATTAGGGGGCCCGTATTTTTTCAATGACTCTAAGCCATAGACCCAGCCAGAAATCTGGCTCCTCCAAGCCACAGCAGTGATCTGTCCTTCTCCACAGAGCTCCCAGCCAGCCAGCCCTTCAAACACCCGGAGCAGCGCTGTTGTTACCCTTCCTGATATAACCCTGGAAAGGCAGAGCCTGTACCCTGTGTCTATGAGATTCCTCCCCCCAGAATCGCAGGCAGGCTCCTCTAGTGTGGATTCACATCTGCCCCTGTGATATTTATACAGTGCCCCTCACCCTTGTGTCCTGCCCCTCGTCCCCTGTATCTGATCCATTATTCCACTGTACATAGTAAAGGCAGGGCTTATTTTAGTCTGTCCTCCATTAAATGCTAGCCGCAGCTGATTAACCATGTGGTTCGCTGGCAGCACGCACCCGGATGGTTGTGATGAACCTTCAAGTCTCTCCTGCTGCATAGCAACAGGACTGGAGATGGGCAGTTAGCAGGGACTTTGCAGGGAAGGGAATAGCTAAAATGGAAACCCTCGCAAGCTGCTGATATATTAAACCTGCTAAATGGAGGGCTGCCAAGGGACTTGTCTCCAGGTGACATTTTCAAACGCAGGCGTGACCTGAGACCCTATATCCCATTTTCAGAAATGACCTAGACCCTCAGGTCTGCTTTAGGTACAGATCGTGTGCTGGTGTAACTGTCAGCCAGGACTGCCATTTCTCTACTGAAATAATTAAAACCATAGAACTCGCCCTGTTGATTTTCAGTGAGACTAAGACCTTGTCCAAACACACACAAATTGTACCACTTTTAACTACACTGGGCTAGTTAAAACTGGCACACCGCTCCCTCCCCCGGGCTTGACAGTGTTGTTTCAGTATAAAGGTACAGTGTAACTATTCCTATCTGGGCAGGGGAATACACTGTAGAAGGCACCTTTTATATCAGCATAACAGCGGGGGGCTGGGGGGAGAATGTTTATAGAAAAGTCTGTAGAATCATGACTGGGGTGGAGAAAGTGACTAAGGAAGTGTTATTTACCTCCTCACACAACACAAGAACCAGGGGTCACCCAGTGACATCAATAGGCAACAAGTTTAAAACAAACCTAAGGTTGTACTTTTGTCACACAATGCACAATCAACCTGTGGAACTCCTTGCCATGTGATGTGTGAAGGCCAAAAGTATAACTGGGTTAAAAAAAGAACTAGATAAGTTCATGGAGGATAGGTCCCTCAGTAGCTGTTGGCCAAGATGGGCAGGGATGCAGCCCCATGCTGTGGTGGTTCTGATTGTCAGAAGCTGGGACTGGACTACAGGGGATGGGTCGCTCAATAACTACCCTGTTCTGTTCATTCCATCTGAAGCATCTGGCCCAGCCACTGCCGGGGTATCCTGGGCTAGATGGACCGTTGGTCTGACCCAGTGTGGCCATTCTTATGTCCACTAGGTTCTAGAGTCAGCATGGTCAGCAGACTGGGGTTGGGAATCAGGACCCCTAGGTTCTCTCCCTCGCTCTGGGAGAATAGTGGGGGCGGGATCAGCACTTGGCTTCTATCTAGGGTTGTCAGTTTGGGTTGGACGTATTCCTGAAGGTTTCATCATATGACTAATCTTTAATTAAAGATTAATTTTTAGTTCCTGGAAACTACAAGACAGTCCTGGAGCATTGGCAACCCTAGTTCCATCGCCAACTCGGGGAGGGCAGGGGGGTTTAGTGGTTAGAGTGGGTGGGCCAGGACGCCTGGGTTCTCTCCCTCGCTCTGGGAGGGCGGGGGGGGGGGGTCTAGTGGTGAGAGCAGGGGGCTGGCCAGGACTCCTGGGTTCTCTCCCTCGCTCTGGGAGGGCGGGGGGGGGTCTAGTGGTGAGAGCAGGGGGCTGGCCAGGACGCCTGGGTTCTCTCCCTCGCTCTGGGAGGGCGGGGGGGGGGTCTAGTGGTGAGAGCAGGGGGCTGGCCAGGACGCCTGGGTTCTCTTCCCTAGCTTGGGGAGGGCGGGGCGTCTAGTGGGTAAAGCAGGGGGTGGCCGGGACGCCTGGGGTCTCAGGCAGGTCCTGTCGGAGTATGCTCCCGCTTTCACAGAGGCAGAGCCCAGGCGGGGACCGGCGGCGCTAGGGCCGCGGCGCAGCGCGGGTCTCTCCCTTTCGGACCCAGCCCGCCCCTTGGCGGAGCCGCATGGCCCAGGTCCGGCCCGGGCCGAGCCGCGCCGCCCGCGGGGCCATGAGCCTGGAGGCCCTGCGCTACCGCCGCGGCTCCCTGCGCGTCCTCAACCAGCTGCTGCTGCCCCAGCGGAGCTGCTATGAGGAGATCGGCGGCGTGCGCCAGGGCTGGGAGGCCATCCGGGCCATGAAGGTGGGGGCTGCACCCCGGGGTGCTGGGGGCGGGCTGCACCCCGGGGTGCTGGGGGCGGGCTGCACCCGTGGGGAGAAAGGGGGTCTGGGGTTGCAGCCTGGAGAGGGCAGGGGGGTGCGGCAGGTCACGGAAGGGCGCAGTGGCTACAGGGCTGGGGCTGGGCACAGGGCTGGGCACAGAGGGGTGGAGAGGGGGGCACAGGGCTGAGTATGGGCATGGGGACGTGGTGGGCTGTAGGCACTGGGTCCGGGCTGCCCTGGGGACTGGCCTAGCTGGACTATTGCTCTGACCTGGGGTGGCAACTCCTCCCCTGCAGTGTTTCCACCCCAGCCCCTAAAGCCGCCCATGTCGTCCTTGGATCCCACTGCACCCTGACCGTGCCCCTTGTCCCCCAGGTGCGGGGTGCCCCTGCCATTGCCATCGTGGGGTGCCTGAGCCTGGCGGTGGAGCTGCATGGTGGGGCTGGCATGGGGCAGGACAAGACCGGCCTGGAAACCTTCATCCGTGACTCCCTCCGCTACCTGGTGACTGCGCGGCCCACAGCTGTGAACATGGCGCGGGCGGCCGAGGAGCTGGGGGCTTTTGCTTCCCAGGAGGCCCAGCGTGAGGAGGCCACAGCCGAGAGCCTGCGGGAGAGGTGAGAGCCAGGCCCGCAGCCCCTTCTCTTCCTTGGGGTCGAGGGAGCCATGCCCTAACCTTCTCCCCACCCCCCAGTGTGATCCAGTGGGCAGAGGCCATGCTGGAGAAGGATCTGCAGGACAACAGGAGCATCGGGGAGCACGGGGCACGCCACCTGCTCCAGGCCTCACCGCAGGACAAGGTGACGGTGCTGACCCACTGCAACACCGGCTCCCTGGCCACCGCCGGCTACGGCACCGCGCTGGGTAAGTGGGGCTGGAGGGGGCATCTGTCCACACCGGGGGGGAGCCACATTGCCTGTAAAGATTGGGTTGGAGGAAAGGGGAGGGGGGTCTGACAGGACTGCAAAGTAGAGTTGGGTCTTACCACTAGACTCCTCTCCCCTCCCAGAGCCAGAGAACCGAGAAGTCTTGACTTCCAGTTCCCTCTGCTTTAACCACTAGCCCACCCTCCTACTTAGACCCAGGGAGTAGAACCCAGGAGTCCTGACTCCCAACCTTTGCTCTAACCACTAGACCCCATTCCCCTCCCAGGTCAGGGGAGTTCACCCCAGAAGTCCTGCTACCCTGCTCTGACCACAAGCCCACGCTCTCCAACTTACTAACCTCTTGCACTCCCCCCACTACCGTTCACAATTCTCCTCTTCCTTGCAGGTGTCATCCGCTCTCTGCACGCCCTGGGCCATCTGGAGCACGTCTACTGCACAGAGACGCGGCCGTACAACCAGGGGGCGCGGCTGACAGCCTACGAGCTGGTGTACGATCACATCCCGGCCACGCTCATCGCAGACAGCATGGTCTCTGTGGCCATGAAGGAGAAGGGTGTGTCGGGTGAGTGGGAGACAAGCTGCAGCCTGAACCCCCTGGCCTTGTTAGGAGGAGATGTGGATCCTAGGGCTTGTTCAGCTGGTGAGCAATGCAAGGCAGGGGCTGTCCTGGAGCCTGGCATGATAGAGCCCTGATCTCAGTCAAGGGCGGGCATCTGCAAAGAGGCATGATGATGCCCCGATCTCGGCCCGGGTCTGTGCGGCATCACGCACGATGGGGCCCGGTCTCAGTCAGAGGGGGGACGTCTGCGCCGTGCCCAGTGCCATGGGGACCCATCTTGGTTGAGTCTTTGAGGTGCACGCTCACAGGAATCAATACCTCAGTGGATCCATCTAATCCAGTATCATGACACCAACCAGAGCCAGCACCAGCTTGCTTCAGCCTGTCTTGCACGTGGCTGACACCGTAACCCCTATTTCTGTATGTAGGGCACCTCGTTCATGGAGCTCGCAGCACACAGTCCGGTGTATTTGTAGCATTGTCCCCCGTTTATGAGGGGGATGGACACACTGAGTCCTAGAGAAGGGTGATGGCTTGCAACTGCTCTGCTGGGTATCGCTGGTCGTAGCCAGGAATAGAATCACGGTATTCTCCCAGCATGGTGTCCTTTCCCCTGGACATCACTGCCTCTCAGAGAATCATGCTGGGTGCTCCACAGAGCTGCTTGGTTGGGGCCCTCTGCAGTCCCTGGAGGGTGCAGGAGGATTGGGATCTGCCAGTCACCGGGCTGACCAGCAGTAGAGAGGGGGCGGGAGGAGGGGACCGCGATGGGATCACAAGTATACTAAGGTGGCCATCTCGTTGCTGACTCCTTGGTGGTCATGTGACGCAGGAATCGCCCCGCCAGGACTTTAAGCATTGCATTCCCTCACCCAGCTGTCGTCGTGGGAGCCGACCGGGTGGTGGCCAACGGCGACACCGCCAACAAAGTGGGCACCTACCAGCTGGCCATCGCTGCAAAGCATCATGAGATCCCCTTCTACGTGGCGGCCCCTAGCACCTCATGCGACCTGAGCTTGGCAGAAGGGGCTGAAATCGTGATCGAGGAGCGGCCGAGCCAGGAGCTGACAGATGTCAATGGAGTGAGGATTGCAGCCCCAGGTACTGCAGTGGGGGTGTATCCCCGAACAGTATTGTGGACCAGTGGGCTATCCCGGTGCAAGAGGAGGCGGCGATATTGGGCCGGTGGGGGAATTCTTGGTTGGATATTCATGTCACGTTGCTGAGTGGCTCACGGTGTCTCTGTTTTTCTCCTGCCAAGGGATCGGCGTTTGGAACCCGGCCTTCGACATCACGCCACACGAGCTCATCACTGGGGGCATCATCACGGAGCTTGGTGTCTTCTGCCCTGAAGAGCTCCGAGCGGCCCTCCCCGGGGCCGTGAAAGGGGAGTGAACCCCTGGGGCCAATAACTGCTCTGCCTCATGCTGCGAAGGGGCGGAGAGAGGCCCGGCTCTCCCTCCGCAGAGACAAAGACTGTGGGTGGGGGTAATACACCCTGTGCCTGGCTCTGGTTTACACGCTGTTAATAAATCCCCATCGCCTTTGACCACCACCACCTTTCCGCGTGGGGTGATGCCTGTAGCTGGCTAAATTAGCAGGGCTTCAGCGTGTGGGTTGCGTGTCCTCTGCTGGATGGAGTCGGACCACCCCCCTCCCCGTGTGTCATAGCCCCTCTGCTGCCGCAGGAGAGTCTCCCTCAGCTCCCCGGGGCTGGGCTCTGGGCTCACTGATACCAGAGCAAACGGGGGCAGAGGGAGCTTCCCCCAGCGCCCTCAGAGCGTTGCACGGGGCGGGGGGGTGATCTGGGATTGGGCGGGGGGGGGTAACCTCACTGGCCCCCCAGGACCGTCTCTATCCCGGCATGCACTGGGGCGTGGTTTGCCCCTCTCTATCCCGGCATGCAGCGGAAGTGACATTTTTTTTTCCCCCGGCGCGCGCTGGGGGGGGCGTGGTTTGCCGCTCTGTGTCCCGGCGCGCGCTGGGGGGCGTGGTTTGCCGCTCTGTGTCCCGGCGCGCGCTGGGGGGCGTGGTTTGCCGCTCTGTGTCCCGGCGTGCACTGGGGCTCTGCCGGAAGTGGAGGCCGCCTCATGGCTCAGGGGAAGCAGAAGTTCCAGGCCCAGAAGCCGGGCGGGGGAAAGAAGCCGGCGGCCCAGGGGGTCCGGGGACCCCGGAAGGGAGGTGAGCGGCCTGGGGGCGGGGCTAGGCCCCACGGGCCCCGAGACCACGGGGCGGAGGGGGGGGAGCAGGGCCTGGGCCCTCGGGCTGGGCGGGGGGGGTGTAGCAGGGCCTGGGCCCCTGGGCTGGGCGGGGGGGGGTGTAGCAGGGCCTGGGCGGCGGGGCGGGGCGGGGGGGGGGTGTAGCAGGGCCTGGGCCGCGGGGCGGGGGGGGGGGGGGTGTAGCAGGGCCTGGGCGGCGGGGCGGGGCGGGGGGGGGTGTAGCAGGGCCTGGGCGGCGGGGCGGGGCGGGGGGGGGGTGTAGCAGGGCCTGGGCCCCCGGGCTGGGGGGGGGGGTAAGCGACCTGTTTTCCCTCCACGCTCCAGAGGGCCCCCGAACCCCATCCCCCTGCAGTCCCCAGAGAGCGGCTGTTGCCCCCCTACTCTTCTCCCCCAGGACCGTCACAGGGGCTCTCTGGCTGACAGGCTGGGGTTCCCCAGGCTGGGGCAGTTCAGCTGCTGGCATTGAGTTCTGCTTCCAGGGAGCCAAACGCTTACCTCCCCTCCCCCATGTCTCTCCCCCAGGCCGGATAATTGCTCCCAAGAAAGCTCGGGTGATCCAGCAGCAGAAACTGAAAAAGGTGAGGTGGGGTGAGGAGAACAAACAGCCCCCAGCAGCAGT